TATTACTAACTTTCTGTTTTGTTTTTCCAAAAAGTTTAATTGTTTATTACAGCAATACAGAATAATAACAAACTGTACAGTACAAAACAAAAGGCAAGATGTGGACAGTTTCCCCAAACCTGCTAATTCCAGCAAAATTCTAACCAACATATTGATGTACTATCCTATTACATTAGCTCAACATCTATCTAGGATAGAAATCAAACTGTTCCAAACCTCTTGCTAATCAACTCTTCATTGCTCCCCTGCAATATACTTCTTGTACGAGTTGCCTAATTATTATTGCAGGTGTTCTTTGTTTGTTCTGAAATAATCACATGTTTCTTTCTTGCCAAATATGATATAGAACACCAGCTAGTGTCATTCTAAAGATCTCATCTTGCACGTTCTTTTCCCTAGCATGAGTAGTTGTCCAAGTGATTTCTCCATTCCAGTTTTGTACAGTTCGATGGATTCCTAGCCATTGTAATAGTTTACTCCAAACATTAGTAGAGAAGTCACATGGAAAAAAGAGATGATCATGACTTTCCTCGGCTAGAGGACAAACCAAGGCCTAGCAATATTTTAGACGATTCGGGTCCGGTCGACCGGATGCATGCAGATGGTGTGGTTATAGCATACAAAAATTTGGGAATCATGTGGAATTTCAGTTTTATTGCCCTGCCAAAAAATGAAGAACGGTCATGGCGAAGTGATGACTATTGTTCCTTTGCCGGATTCGGGTTTTATGGCCCGGATGCATGCCGATGGCGTGGGCTATAGTACACAAAAATCCGAAAATCGGGCCGAATTCCAATTTTATGGCCCTAAAATGCCAAAAATGAGGAACAGTCATGGCGAAGCGATGACTATTGTTCCTTACGTCATTTTTATGGACTGACAAAATTTTATGCAATGCGGGTCCGGTCGCCTGGATGCATGCAGATGACGTGGGCTATAGCATATGAAAATCTGGGAATCAAGTGAAATTTCGATTTTCTGGCCCTAAAATGCCAAAAACCAAAGAACGGTCATAGCGAAGCGATGACTATTGTTCCTTAGGTCATTATTTATGGGCCGGAAAATTTTGGGAGATTCGGGTCCAGTCGCCCTGATGTAGGCAGATGGCGTGGGCTATATATATATATATATATATATATAGCACATAAAAATCTGGTAATCGGGCAAAATTTCAGTTTTAGGGGCTGTAAAATGCCCAAAATCGATGAATGGTCATGGCGAAGCGATAACTATTGTTCCTTGGGTCGTTGTTTATGGTCCGACAAAATTTTAAGCGATGCGGGTCCGGTCGTTCGGATGCATGCAGATGACGTGGGCTATAGCACACAAAAATCTGAGAGTCGGGCGAAATTCTAGTTTAATGGCCCTAAATTGTCAAAGGATGAGGAACGGTCAAGGCGAAGCGATGAGTACTGTTCCTTACGTCATTTTTGACGGGCCGACAAAAATTTAGGCGATTCGGGTCCGATCGCCCGTATGCATGCAGATGGTGTGGGATATAGCACTCAAAAATCTGGGAATCAGGTGAAATTATAGTTTTATGGCCCTAAAACGCCAAAAAATAAGGAACGGTCATGGAGAAGCGATGACAATAGTTCCTTAGGTCCTTTTCGATGGGCCAGCGAAAATTTTAGTAATTCGGGTTCAATCGCCCGGACGCATATATAGATGGTGTGGGCTATAGCACATGTAAATCTCGAAATCCGACGGAATTTCAATTTTATGGCCCTACAACGCCAAAAATCGAGGAACGATCATGGCAAAATAATGATTATTGTTCTTTGGGTTGTTTCTTATGGGCAGACAAAATTTTAGGAGATTCAGATCTGGTCGTTCAGATGCATGCAGATAGCGTGGGCTATATAGCACACGGAATTTGAGAATCAGGCGGAATTCCAATTTTATGGCCCTGAAAGTCTAAAAAATGAGGAACGGTCATGGTAGAGCGATGACTATTATTCCTTAGGTCATTTTTCATGGGCCGATAAAATTTTAGGCGATTCGGGTTCGGCCGCCCAGATGCATGCAGATGGCGTGGGCTATAGCACAAAAAAGTCTAAAAATCGGGTGTAATTCTAGTTTTATGACCCTAAAATGCCCAAAAACGAACAACGGTCATGGCGAAGCGATGGTTATTGTTCCTTAGGTCGTTTTTGATGGCTCGGCAAAATTTTAGTTGATTCTGGTCCGGTCTTCCGGATGCATGCAGATGGAGTGGGATTTAGCACACAAAAATCTGAGAAATAGGCACTACAAGAAAAAGGGTCTTTAGCGAAGGAAAATCTGGTCGCTATAGGTCCAAATACGGTCGTTATCGACCAATAACGACCAGTACAAATACGGTTGTTAAAGGTCTTGACGTTAAAAGTTCACGACCGGATTCCAATCCTGACGTTAAAACTTTTTTAACGACAACAATAAATCCGGTCGTTATAGCACCTTTCAACGACAAAATTTCCCTTCGTTAATTGCCATTTCACCGTCGTTAAGAGCCTCTATAATGACAACTAATTCTGCTTTTAACGACCAAAATTACTCACGCTAATTGTGAATTGCTCTCAATAACATTACATTTAATGGCCAAAATTCTATTCGCTAATGGTATTTTTAATAAATATAATTAGATGGAACTAATGGATCACATCACCAAAAATATAAACATTTAATACTCATAAAACATCATTGTTAATGACAAAGAACTAATGCATCACATAGACTAAAATATATAAATATTCAAATTGTATGACATTATTCTTTTCAAAGTCCAAAAAGAAAAGAATAGAATTGTAACATCTAAATAGGGCAACTCAACCCTTTGCAAAACAAAGTAGGTTCCTCTCGTAATTCAACTTGGTCTTTAACATTTACAGCTGCTTCAACTCACTCAACAATAATCCTTGCTTCAATTGTGAACAAGTCCAATGAAGTAGTACCCATTGCTAGTTCATGAATGCTAGTTCTGAAAAACAATTGAAATGTTAGTTCATGAATGCCAGAAATAAAAAGGTAGATATTCAGACAAATATACGGATGTAGACGGATGTAGTGAGACAGAGAGAGAGAAGTTGTACCTATTTCCTTTGAAACACAGAATATAAACTGCACCCATTTCCTCTGAATTATGACAAATGTTACCATTGAAAGATCTAGAAAGAAAAGAAACACGTAACTATAAATCTACCTTCAACTGCACATTAATGATAAGCTAATCTGCAAAGACAAAAAAGGTGTAATCAGCTAACAGGTGCTTCAAAAAGTTTGGCAAGTCCGTTCTTCCAACTTCGCTACGTCTATCTTCAAACTCGCCCTTTCTTCAACACTATTAGAGATTAAAATCCTATTCCGCCATATTAACAAGCCATCCCTTCTACAAACCTTCTTCATCACAGTAGGATATATGTTCATTTTTTTAACATTTACAGCAATGGGACGATGGAAATATCCTGCAAAGTCTTTCAATTCTAACATTGTAGTTCATTCCCTCTATTCTGTTAAAGAAAAGTGGTCCTAATTCAAAATATTACGATGAAAAAAGACAGCAAAATCTCTACATAAATGTATAGCGCAAAAGAAAACTTTAACAAAAATTGAACAATCAATTCCTGCTAAGATGTCTTTGTTTAAGCTTTCAATATGACATACTACAAAAGTGTGACATGTTTCATGTCTAGTCATTTCCCTTGACCTCTCTTTACTGTTTCATATCTGTGGTTCATTTGGCAATCTTCTGCTTAAAGATTATCCTAGATCATTATGTCAGTGATATAGAGCTAATGGAGTACCATTTGAAATAGAATAAAATAAGGTTTCACTCATAGGATTAACTCGAGCTAAACAAAACTAATATCTATTCACCTTTTTGTGATTAAAGAACTGACAAAGAAAGTTCCTGTTGGAGAAAATTGAAGTAGATTATGGATGTCAAGTTCGTCCCAACCATCAGATTCAACACTTAAAGCTTCACAGAAATCATAGAATGGATCTTGTAGCAAAATGTAACCTTCATGCTTACATGTGTCAAGATATTGAATTACAAATTGCTTCACATAGCTGGTACAACCCTTTCTAAAATCGTTAAAGCAGAAGACAAAACTAACAATTAAACTTGTCGAACAAGTGCATAAAGTACATTATAAACTAGAGCAGAAGAGGGGAAAATCCATGTTCGAGAAGAGCATAAAAAGAACTAAATATTTGGGACGACTGAAGGCTATGGTGAACAATTTAAGGGTTGTAATGAGCTTAAGCAGTGTGCATAATCGAAGCATTTAAGTTTTAACCAAAGAAGAAGAAGGAAAACCTGTTGAAGCGTGCAATCATTGTAAAGAAAGACTCATCAAATGGTAACTGTAGTGATAGCCAAATAACAGGATAATATCTTTCCTAGAACAGCAGTTCTAGACAATTAACGCCAAAACAATATCATGATTTGTCGAAACAAGGGACAGAGCTCGATTGAACTTTACCAAACTGAACGAGATGGCATTCTGTGACACGAAGGCATATTTGAAGAGGTACAACGACCCCTTTCAAGCCAGGATTTAGTGCCTAGGGTTACATAAATTTCAGTGACTCAGACGACGAATTGGAAGACGTATGCGATGGTGAATCAAAATAGATTGAAGGCTTTTGGAATAATTGACTGTGATCTCAAATTAAGAATAAAAGAGGGCTGAAATCAACAGAACGATAACGAGGGTTTCTTTTGCTCTGGGAGAGTTAGGATTGGGGAAGGGGAAAGGAAAATAATTAACGTCCATTTTTTTAATCAATTAGTACAAATTAGTTTTACCGTCCGGATATTAAGTCTTTTAAGGGCCGTATATTGTCCCTTCGTTAATATGAACTTAAAAATTGGCTTTAACGTCCACAAAACAATGTGGCCTATAGTACACTTATAACGACCAGATCTAGGTCCCTTCGTTAAAAAGTGATCTTTAAAAGTTAATTTTTCTGTAGTGGGCGTAATTCCAATTTTATGACCCTAAAACGTCAAAAAAGAGCAACGGTCATGCCGAAGCGATAACTATTATTTTTTAGGTCGCTTTTTATCACTCGTCAATTTTAGGCAATTTGGGTTTGGTCGCCCGGATGCATGTAGATGGCGTGGGAATGAAAATCTGGGAATGAGGCGTACTTCTAGTTTTATGGCCCTAAAACGCCAAAAAATGAGGAATGATCATGGTGAAGCGATGACTATTGTTCCTTAGGTCGTTTTTTATGGCCCGACAAAATTTTATGACCACAAAATACCAAAAAATAATATTTGTCATGGTGAGTATTGCTCACAAGGTCATATCTGATGGATCCACCAATTTTTAGGCTTTTCGGAGTTTGTTAACCAAATTCAAAAAAATTATCATGTATATAAACATACGAAAAAATAAACATAAGCATTAATTCTTGAAGGTCATATGCGATGGTACTACAAATATTTAGGCCAATATGGAGTCCGTCAACCAAATTCTAGAAAATTATTATGATATAAACACACAAAAAATGGACATATTATTAATTCATGTTTTATTACCCCGGAACGCCAAAAAATATTATTAATCATGGTGAGTATTACTTACAAGGCCGCATCCGCTGGTTCCACCAATGTTTAGGCCAATCAGAGTCCGTCAACCAAATTCAAGAAAATTATCATGTATATAAACACACGAAAAAATAGAAGTCATAATTAATTTCTATTTCATAACCCCGTAAAGCCAAAAATCGATGTCAGTCATGGCAAAGCCATGGGTATTAGTTACTAGGATATTTTCGATGAACCCATAATTTCAGATCAAGCAAAGTTTGGTAACTTTTTAAGCGTAGTTAGAATCCAAGTGATCGTGCAGAGCACGGGATCAGGTGCAGTATGCTTGTGTTGATGCTTTTATTTCTTTTGAGATTGGAAAGCGTTTGAATGCTTATGACTATTAATCTTCTTTCTCTTCTCTTGATACATTGGATTGATTTAAACTGCTTAATAGGTGTATCTTTTGGGTTTCGATGAAGATATCGTGTATCATTCTAACTGCATATTAGGGTTTGTTTTATATTTGGGGGGAAAAACAAAGATGGTTTTGATTGCTACTGTTTTTCTGCCTTCTTTGGTTCTTGCTTTGCCTTCATACTAAAATTAGTTCAGTTCTTGATTCCTATCTTTTTAATTTATATAAGTTAACAATCGTTGAATTAAGCATGTTGCATTTGATGTATTGTTTAATCGGGTTCAATGTGAGCAATAGGCTACTTATTAGCAATATATATGTATTCTATCATCATTCAACTATGTTCTTCTTCGTGTTCTTCTTAAGTAGTAGTGTCACAAACCTTGAGCTAATTGTAATACTAGTATTTCTTGCAATTTTACCCTTGGGGAACATTAGAACAAGCTAAAACTTTATGTGCGTTCTTGAGGAAAAAAGCGTTTTTGAAGTTCAATCAGATTACGAAGACATTGAAATTTCACTAGTAAAAAAACAATACATAATCTTATTAATGTCTTACAAAGATTCAAGTAACCATGTTATCGAACCAAAAAAATAAGAAAAAAGAAAATGAAATAGTGGAAAAACAAAAGATGCTACATAGATCAGTAGTAAGGTAATGTTTGAGTACCCTTGTTGTATTTTTCTTCTTCAGAATTTATAAATAAAAGTACATGCAAATTTACTACGCCCGAGTGATTTAAATAAAATAAATGTTACGTATTCATTGGCTTGTATGTGTATACAAGTGTAAAGGTAACCTAGGAGTAGGAACAACTTGTAATGGAGTTTGCATGTAGGTGACTGTACCAGGACTCTCCAACATATCAACATCTTCAAGCTTAACACCAGGAGGCAAAGACCAAGTAAACTGGTGCAACAAATGTGCTAACATAGACGTGACCAAATTAATGGCAAGATTCATACCTGCAGCGGCAGAACAAACAAAATATAAGAAATAAACATACAAAGAAGACAGGAAATTCAAAATTTTATGGCAAGATTCATACCTGGACATATACGTCTTCCGGCACCAAAAGGCAGTAACCTATAGTCATGTCCCTTCATGTCAACATCCTCTTTTACAAATCTTTCTGGCCAAAATTGCAAAGGATCTTTCCAAATTCTTGGATCACGACCTAAGGACCAAACATTAACATGCACAATTGAACCTTTAGGAATGTTGTAACCACTCACTTTGACATTGTTACTTGCCATATGAGGTAGCATTAGGGGAGTTGGAGGATGCAACCTTAGTGATTCTTTGACTACATATTGTAGATAAGAGAGTTTAGAGATATCTGATTCGTTTACGATCCGATCTGACCCGATAACCCGGTCTAACTCCTCTTGGACCTTTTGTTGAACCCTTGGATTCTTTACTAGTTCTGCCATAGCCCATTCAACTGTAATAGCTACTGTGTCCATCCCTGCTGTTATCATATCCTGCAAATATTTTTATTCACAACACTTAGTCATATGATTTTATAATTCCAACTACAGAAAAATAAAATCTTTATGCGAAAACGAAAAAACTCCACTTTCGCATCACTTGTTGACCTGCAGACATTTACGTAAAGGATAAAAATTTATAACATTTAACCTAAGCAAACTTTGTTTAGATTGCAATATATTTTTTAAAATAAAAATAAATCCGCTATGTTAATGTCAAGATCAGACTGACCCTTACTAATAGATTAATATGGAATTAGATTATATACACCTACCATATAAATAATATGAACAATTATTTGTAGTTAGTATCTTTTAGTTTACCTAGAAGTGTAAATATCACCGTAAGCACATAGAAGTTAAACTCTATTAATATCTAGAAATAGATCTATACTGTAACTTATGGGTTCATGCAATCCTGATCCTATATACGTATTAACAAATCAACTAAATGCCTATAAAAATTTGACTATGAACTCAATTTTTACTGTATATTAACTTGAATTTGTTGTATGACCTATAGAACTTTAAATTCTGAGTCTGCCTCGAAAAGTATATCCAATATGTAATAATAAAAAAAGGAAATTAGTATACTTACCCAAAGAAGGCCAATAACGGTGTCATCACTAAGATCATACTGCTTCTGAAGGGTAAGCAAAGCATCAACAAAATGGTGTTTGGTTTCCCCAGTTTTGTTCCTAGCAAGAGTGTGTTCTTCCATTATAATTCTTGTAAACTTTTCCAAACGTCTGTCTTGAGCCTCGAGAGCTTCATTATCATCCTTAAAAACCCAACGCAGCCATGGAACAAACTCTCCCAAATTAAGCTTTCCTCCAATCTTTATGCCATTGGAGACTATGGCTTTGAGCTCTTCACCTTGCTCATCAACTTCACCTTCTGAGTTCATAAATCTCTTCCCAAATGTTAGTCTTGTTATGTTGTTGAATGCTACTGATCCCAAGTAGTTCCTCAACATCAAGGTTTTACTAACATTGCCTGCACATATACACATATTACATATGAGTTTAAGCTCTATGCACTAATAGTAGTGATACGTAGAGTATAATAAAATGATTTTAGATATATGCACTGACTAATAATTATTCCATTATAGCAAGTTTCTTATTATTTATTGTAGGTTACCATTGAATACATACTAAATATAGTTTTTTTTATAACTGCCTTTTAGATCACCTAATTATATAAATATTTTATTTCATCAATATATATAACTTAAACTCATAATTCCTATATATAATCATTTGTTGAAGCCTGGAGGATTCGGTTGTTGCATTTGGAGATATATTAACCATAATCTAATTCTCAGATGTTCGTATAAACAATTAACAAAAGGAAGAAGCTATCACTATCTAATTCTATACTTAGAGCAAGACCAATAATTACACCAATAATTCTATATTGATAGTCCTTTTCGTGTTAGGTGGTCTTGCACTAAGAGCAAGACCAATAATTAAAAAGTAAATAAGTTTTTGTAATAACACTTTCCTCTATTCAAATTGCTACTTGTCATAAGAGATCAGATATATCTTCATTCTTTATTCTACACCTCAGAGAAATAAATAACCAAAAACGTTGGATCTAAAAGTATATATGCCCTATCTTTATTGGAGGATTTCACTATTCAAATTTGGATCAATGTTCTCCTCATAAACAGCAACTTTTAGGACCATCAATCCATTATAGCATAGGGCTATGGGGCCATCATTCAAGAGTCAGCACACACACACTCAGGCAAGTAGGGCTCTCCTTTTACGTTTTCTACCTTTTCTCTTAGCATGGGGAAGTCTATTAATGACAAAAGGGGTGATCTCGTCTGTTTGCCGGCGGAAGAGAGTGAGTTTTCAAACCATCTTTTTTAGTCAGATAGCTTGTGATCGCTCATGTTGATTTTTTATTTAGTAAATATTCTATCCGTTTTATGTTACGTGGACTCCTAAGCGGATTTAGGATTTAAACTCTATGAGTTCAATTTTTATAATTTTTAAAGTTATGGGTTCATATCTAATATTTTTACAATTTTAATAAAATTTTACATATATATTTTTAGTCCGCATCAAAAATCCGCCGTGCGGTCATTCCAAAAATAAAGAATGACACTTTTCAACGTTCAAAAGCAAACCCCCATGCAAAAGAATGACACTCTTTATGACCATGTCAATTGATCTGACCCCAAGCAAACAACCCATGCTAACACTAGCCTTTGATCTAGCCCTTACGCGCGGAGCAACTAAGCCATTCGTATCTATATATACATTATTTATACAATTGGTAAAACTATATATACTAAGCCATTCGTAAAACTAACCTAT